CTGGGCCCGCCTGCGGCGGTCGCCGACGCGCGGCCGACGGCAGTCAGCAGCGCCGCTGCTGTGGTCGGCCCCAGCAGGACTGCGCCCGCCCTGTTGCCGCCCAGACTCACGGCCAACAACTCCAAAAGCGCCTCCCGTGCCTCGCCCCCGCCGCTGCCCCCGGCCGCGGCCCCATCCAGAGACACGGACTCAAACAGCCGCAGGGCGCCTGCATCTAAAGCGCCGCACCGCCAGGTGCCAAGCGCGCCCGCGCCCCCCGCGAGGCGCCCCAGCAGCAGCGCAGCAAACCGCAGGCGCCGCTCCAAGGGGGCGCCCGCGGCGTCCGCGCCGAGCAGCAGCTGCGTGATCACGTCCTCCCACGCGGCCGCCGGGTCGTCCGGCGACTGCAGGCATTCGACGAGCAGGGCGGCGCTCGCGGCCGCTGCGGCGTCAGAGCCGGCCGTCTCCAAAGGCGCCTCGGCCCCTGCGCGCACCAGCGCCCGAACCATGCCGAGCGCGCCGCCGCCGCCGCCGCCCGCCCCTGTGGCCGCCGCCACACCGAAGCGCCGCACCCCGTCGGCCAGGAGGGCGCTGGCCGCCGCCGGCAGCGGGCGCCCAGACTGGAGCCGCGGCGCGAGCGCGGCGGCGGCGGCGCGGACGAGGCGGCCGGCGGCCTGGCGGGCAGCGGCTGGGCAGCTGCTGTCAGACGGGTCCAGGGCCTCCACGATCTGTCGCAGGCGCGCGACCGCCGCTTCGATCGACGCATCTGCACCGGCGGCGTCCGCTTCCTCCTGCTCCTGCTCCTGCAGCGGCGCGAGCGCCGCCGAGGCTGCCACGCCCACGGCAGCGATCACCTCTTCAGCTTCCACCAACACAGGCGAGTCCTTGGTCGCCGCTGCGCCTGGCGGCGCCACGAGCTGCAGCAGCAGCGCAGTCACAACGTCGCGCGCCGCCGCCGCCGCGGCCGCCTCCGCGCCCGCGCCCCCGCCGAGCGCGAGCGGCAGCAGGACGGGCGAGAAATGGGCCGCGAGCAGCTGCCTGCAGTACCGCCGCTGCAGCGACTCCTCGTCTCCCGCCGCCTGCTGCCCCTCCGGCTGCTGCTCGCCCGCCAGGCACAGCCTTCTGCTGCTGCGCATCGCCCAGCCAAGGACGTCGGTGTACGCCGCAACGGTCGCGGCGCGCCCGAGGCCGCCGCCGCAGTGCTGCAGCCCCTGCCACAGCGCGTCGCACAGGCTTGCCATGAAAGGCTGCCCCTGCTCCTGCAGCTGCTCCTCCTGCTCCTCCTGCTGCTGCTGCTGCTCCTGCTGCTGCAGCTGCTGGACGTCCCGCGCCTCCGCCGGCGCTGCAGGCGGCGCTGCCGGCGCGAGCAGCTGCCGCGGCAGCGCCGCAACAAACGGCAGCAGCGCCGGCAGGGATCCCACTGCGGAGCCGTAGCAGCCGTGCCGCAGCAGTGCCCACAGGCGCGGCAGCAGCATCTTCTGGCAGCTCACATGCTGCCAGCAGGCGGGCGCCTGGGCGTTCACGAATGTCAGCACCATCTCCCACATCGCGGGGTGGTTAGCCGGCTCACGCTCCCCGAGCGCCCCAAGCGCTGCTTGCGACGCCGCGTCGAGGCAGCCGCCGAGAAGCTGCGGCGCGGCGGAGCAGACGCCTGAAAGCATGCCGTAGGCGCTGCGGCGCACCAGGGCGCTCTTGGAGCCAAAGTGCTTTTTGAAGAATCCTGGGCCGCAGAGGATCTGCTCTGCCCGCGCCTGGACGTCTGAAAGCGCTTTCTGTGCCGCCTGCTGCTGCTGCTGCTGTTGCTGCGTGTCCGTCGCCCCCGCCGCCGCCGCCTCGCCGCCGCCGCCGCCGGCCGCGGCCGCGGACAGCGCCCGCAGAAGCGCGGCGAGCGCGGACAGCGCGGCGGCGACGACGCGCTCGTGGCGCTCCTCCATCTCCTCTGGGGAGTCCTTCCGCGGGTCACCCAGTGACTGGGGTGTGGACGCCAGGCACTCGGCGATGTGGTCGGCCACGTCGGACCTGACATGTTGTGATGTCAATCGGACGAAGATGATTTGGATTGGTTGGCAATGAGGCTCATGATAAGCAATGATTTGAGGGGGGCGGACAGCGAGGCAACGGCGTGCCAGACGCGCCAGGCGCGTGGGACGGCGCGGCGCACGTGTGGGATGGCGCGGCGCACGTGTGGGACGGCGCGGCGCATGTGTGGGCCGTGTTTTTGCGAGGGTGCGTTGCCTGCGAGTTGCAACGAGCGAGGGCTGCGGCCGCCGTCTGGCTGCAAACAGCCGCTCAAAGGGGGGCCCCATGTTCTCAAAAACAAAACTGTACTGCGCCCCCAGGCGCGCACCTGCAGAAGACCAGCGCGCCCGCCTGCTTTGGGCCTGGGAACGCCTCCGCCAGCGTCCGCCGCGCTGCTGCTGCCACGTCAGCGTAAGGGTCAAACGTGGCGCCCCACCACGGCGGCAGCAGCGCCCGCAGCTGCGGCGCGAGCGCCTTGCCGACCGCGGCCGCGAGGGCGCCCATGGTCGCGCACGCCTCGGACCGGACCGATTTCGCCGGGTCCATCAGGAGACGCTTGAAGTGGTAACCCCAGGGCGGCAGCGCCGCCGCGGCGTCCGCGGCCGGCCGGCGCCGCGCGAGGTCGCCCAGGGTTTGCAGAGCTTTCAGCTTTGTGGTGGCGTCCTTCTTGGACAGGTGGCGCAGGCACTGGGCGATCTCCGAGTCGAGGGCGCCAGGCAGAGCCGGGTCGCCGCCGGCGGCAGCTGCAGCTGAGGCGGCGGCCGCGGCGGGCGGCGGTCCGAAGCCGAAGCCAGCGACGGGCTGGAGGCCGGAGAACCTGCAGGGACGGCCGGGCGGGCGGGCGGGCGTGAGGGGGCCGGCACATGCAGAGTGGCGGCGCGCATGCGGCAGCTGCGGCGGGTGCTCTGCTCCATCC